CTCAGATAATATTGGGCTGTCCCTCCTAGGTTTATGTCATCTGCAGAGCTGTTCCAGAGCAACTGTTTTCTCACTCCCTACTATAGGTAACCCAGGCATTGAGTTTGTTAGTACACTCAGTAAAAGAGAAAGAACGTCCTTTGCTGTGGTTGGGGCTGGATGGCGAGGAAAAGACAGCTGTCTTGCTGGTATTGTGCTGTGCTTTGCCAGTGTAGGGGGGATTTCAGGCAATTTAATCACAGTCGGCTAGAATAATTCAAGAAGAAACTACAGTACTGTACATATTTCACATCAGTTATGGGAATGGCTTAATGGAATGCTCAGGATCCAGCACCATGTCCTCCCAATTTTATCCAAATCATGGTCGTGCTTTATAGCCTTCTGAAAACAGAAGCTAAGATGAATATATACGCCTCACAAATATAAGATGTGCTCCCTCTGCAATTGAAGAACTAGTTCGTGGACACATGAACACTCATCATGGTTTGCCAATAGTCTTTTTGAGATGTGCCATGACTGGAAGTGACTGCACTATAAAGAGACCACGGAGTGGCACTGTGTCATTTGTTTTCTTTCTACAGAATGTTTTCCACTGAGTTTGCTTTCCGATTGTTAGGGGACATTGAGCAACTGCTCAACTGGGCTTGAATGAGCCCACTCCTAACACTATGGGTCTTACCGTCCCTAACAAACTAAAGCAGACTGCTACCACACACTGTGTGAACTTCAGACATTTTTGTCCCAGTATGGTTTGCACTGCATCTACACTTGCATTCTCTGAATCCTCCGTATTCAACAGCGCTGATGGAATGCCTTTCAGCAGCTCCCTGAAAGGCTGCTCCCTTTCCTTTCCCTCAAAGAGATGTCCAGTGACAAAAGGAAGACCAAAGGTGGGCAAAAGAACAGGATACCCTTGTTTACTTGTGAGTAAACTGAAGTGGGAGCTGGCGGAGAGAACTGGAATTACAGACTGGACTGGGGTCCAAGGGTTAAAGGAACTACAGGAGACCCTCAAAATGGATATAGGGCTAAGGACTCCAGTCTAGTACTGTACCTACCGCACCAGAGTCAGCCTGTCAGCTTGGATAGAAGATGTACCTACCGCACCAGAGTCAGCCTGTCAGCTTTAGTTGGATAGAAGACTGAAGTGCCAGAGGGGTCCCGAAACACCTGAAAGTTCAGGGCCCAGCCTGGGAGGGACCTTTCTGGACTGAGGTGGATGTCAACCCAGCAGTAGCCAAATGTTTCCTTTCTGCTTCAGAATTTTGAAGAGAAGCCACTCCTCATGGCACAATAATTTTCAGATGTGAAACTTGCATTTTTCCATGCTTTCGAACTGCTGGGTAGGCGAGGAGCTGGGACAAAGCGATTGGAGCTCACATGTATTCGATCTTACGACTGCTGGTCTTCTGACCAGGCTTCTGCGGGCTTCTGCGGTTTAGCCCACAGCGCCACCACGTCCTCATGGCACAATAATTAAACGGTAGTACTCCAATCTAAACCCTGCTCACAGTCAGCATTCAGTCCCAGCAGATTCTGACAGCCAGCCCAAGGCTGATTCAGTCTTCCATCCTTCCGAAGTTGGGTACCCATCTTGTGCGCGGGGGGGGGGGGTCGAAGTTAGTGACCCATCTTGGTGGGGGGGGGGGGGTATGTGGGAATGTGTAGCCTATATATAATTAAATTGTAAACCACCCTGAGAGTGCTTTAGTAGCACACACTTTGCTTTTCCTCTCTACTCAGGTCTTCTTTTCCCGCTCTTTTTAGTCAGCTTGAAGACAAGAGTGAGCTATGCACAGTGGTGCCTCCACTTATGAACGTCCCGACATATGACCATTTTGAGTTACGACCAGCTCTGGCCGCAAAATCTTGCTTCAACTTGCGGCCGGAGCTTCAAGTTACAGCCAAAAAAAGGCAGGGAAAAAAGGCAGGGAATTCAAATTGCTCACCTTTGGTAGGCAAAGAGCTGCATCTTTGTAGCTCTTTCGCTCCAACAGTTAGAGAGTGTGGGATCGGAGGAGGCTTGGGACTGCCTGGTAAGGTGCTGCTTTCTACTTTTTAAAAACTGTTCTGGGTGGGCTTTGC